GTGAATTCTTTTTGCAAACTTACAAGTTAAGTAAATACAATTTGGCAAGCAAAATGCATGGAGGAATATGGAGGCTACATGCACACGGTTTTGGAGTAGAATATTCCAAGAATTGCACAAATTTCCAAAGGCTAGATTCTAGGCAGCAAATGCATGCAATGCGATTGGCCGACAAGGAATTTGACGTGACGAGATTGACTTTTGAAGGGACATTTGACATGGTGCAAATTTCAAGAAAAGCATTTAATTAAAGTAATCATGATGCCGGCCTTTTAGAAGACAAGACAAGAAAGTTTCGGAATAATTATGTCTACAAATCAGGGGGCAAGAATCTTTTGCATGAAATTCTAATGGCTGATACTAGATTTGGAAATCTTTACAGTAATGATTACTAGATTTTGTGAGATTCCGTGCAGAATTTCGACGGCTAAGGAATGATTACAAAATCTTAGTAATGATTACAAAATCTCACGTTTTTCAAGGCAGATAATTTTGATTTGACAATTTAAATAAGATAAAATTTAACTTTTCCGGATAAAATTATTAGGAGTATTACGGACAGTACAACTGAACATACTCAAAGAAATCCTTGGACGATATTGAAACCATATATTGCATGCAGTTATCCTAAAATGCCGAACTTAGAAATAAATCAATATTCTATCAAAATAAAATAATTTAACCTCTATCTAATTATTCCGGTACTAAAGAACCAGAATAAGCAAGTAAGTATGATTCAAGGGTCACTAGCTAAATCAAGAGGATCGGGGCGTTACAATGTTGGCAATTGAATTTTTGAAGGAAATTAGACAAAAAGTGACAATTGGACTAAAAACCGAAAGCTAAGTACTGCAAGACACACTTTGTGGGGACATAAAGTTTCGTTTGTGGGGACACAATGCTGACAGAGCCTATAAAAGCAGAAAATTATGAAAAGCTTGACATCTTTTATTTCTTTCCTTTTTAGTACATTCTAGAGCGCAGAAATCTAGGTTTTTAAAGACAGCTTACGTAGAATATGGTAGCTAGGGTATTTTCTTTACATCTTTGCTAGAGGATTCTTATGGGAACTTGGATTTCATCTCATTTTTTCTAGTTTATGTAATAGAACAGTAACTTCTCATTTCTTCTATTTGCTGCAAACGTTATTGTGAATATGAACTCTATTTCTGCAATATATTTTAGTTTTATATTACTTACTTTCCTCATGTCTAGCTAAATATTTTGGGGTTGAGTGAGGATGAACTTATACCTTTTACCCTTTGCAATGACCTAACATTGGATATAGCTCAAGATACAAACTTTATTCTATTATTTTGATTCTGAACTTAATGCCTCACTGTTCCACGTGAATAGGGTTGATGAAAAGGAGTTCATTACTAGAAAGTTGTGTGCTTTCTTGAACTAGAACCAAAATGCTTATTAAAAATTGTCTAGGAATAGAAGTTTATAATGATGTGGTCTATTGGATTTTAAATCTTAATGTTGGATGTTTTTAGTTGTATCTAAGGAATTAGGACACTAATTTCATTTTAGAACCAATTACCAAGGAATTGGAATTGGGTATTTTAGAAAATCTGACCATTAGATGAAGTTGTATTTTGAGTTATGCATATACTTGTAAGCAAAGGGAAAGGAATAAGGGATTTTGAACTCAACCTATTTTTAATTGTGTTTAGACCCATCTCCTATAATTTAGACATTTACATTCTGCAATTAATGAGTAAATTTAAGATCCAAATATCGTCTCCACAGGGAATTTAAGTTTCAAGTACCACTTCATAGAATTATAACCATTTGAGCCATACAAATTTGAAAGGAGAGTTGTAACATACAAAAGCAATAAACCAAAACAATTAAGAGTAAATAAAAATGTGCAGAAAATAGATCAACGAATGCAATGTGAGATTAGAAATGGATTGAAAGGTAGTTAGGAATTTACTTCACAAGAATGTCAATATTAATTCAGTTATGCTTCAAAAAATTCAAGAACTTGATTAATTGACAATCAGTTTCGCATATCAATAGCCAAAGGTTAATCCCTTAACTCATTGACCCTAACAAGCAACTAAACCAACCTAATCCCTTAGGTGAAGTTAAATTTCAAGTTGCATTAAGACTTAGAACCTTAAGATTATAGAATGAGGTCTCCTTATCCCTATGAAATCCCTAAATTCTGATTGCAAACCTAGATCAGAGAATCAAATCTAACTTCCATTGGTAAATGTTCCTCTTTGATGAACTATACGAATTTCCATTCATAGATTGCAAGAAAAGTAGAATTCACAATCCAATTAATCCAAGAACTCAAAATTCAAAACCAAGAGTCAAATCAATACATCAATTCGAGTTCCATAAACTCCTTCCTAACTACAAGAAAACTACTCGACATGCGAGAAGAGAAAGAGAAAGAAAAATAAGAAAAAGAAGAAAAACTCTAAGAAGCCATAGCTAAAAGCTCCAATCCGATTCCTCTTTGTGGAAGCTTCAAGACTTAACCCCAATCTTCTCTCTCAATCTCTCTCAACGACAATCTAACAGAAAAATGGAAAAATAAGACTGAATCCCGAAAATCTGGGCACATTTGGTATTTATAGAAATTCCCAGATTTGCACGTTATCACTTTTATGAAAAATAGTATCTACGCAGAAGGTTTATGGTTGCGCGTTAACACTTCTATGAGAAAAAGTGGCCACGCGTAACTTTCTTGATATTGAGAGCTCTCTGGAACTATCACTCTTGCTGATAAAAGTGACAACGTATAGCTCAAGTGGTTGCGCATGATTACTCTTATGAATAAAAGTGATTACGCGCAACTCGCTAAGTTGAAGGCTCTCTAGAACGTTCACTTTCGATGATAATAGTGGTTACACAGAGCTTTCTTGATATTTTGCCTCTTTGGAATGCTCACTTTTAATGATAAAAGTGGTAGCGCCCAGGCTTCACTTCTTCTTTTAGCTCTGGAGTGATCACTTTCACTGACAATAGTGATCACGCCCAGTCTGCATTTTCTTGTTCTTGTGTTTTTGGAGTCCAGACTTGCTTCTTTCCTCTTCCTTGTCATTAAGCCTCCATTTTTATGAACCTTGCTTGAATTATTCCTTCAAAAACAAGATTAAAAACTTAATTCCTAAATAAAAATTTCACAATTACTAAGATAACTACAATTTTAAAGAACACTTCAATTCATTCTCTTTTCTGAGTTTTTCTGCTTTCTTCATATATTTTTCTTATCAAATGTGTTAGAATTATGCTAAAATATCAGTAAAAATATGGATTCATCACTACCCCAAACTTGAATTTTTGCTTGTCCCCAAGCAAATCAAATTAAACCAAGGGTAATTTCCTCCAATTTCAAATTCAATTAAGAAACTGTTTTTCTCAGATTTTCCAATTTCCAATTCTGTGTTTTCTGCAAAATTTTCAATCAAAGTGTTCATCCAAATACTCATCATGATATTCCTACTGCATAATCATCATTGCGTAAGAATTGCTATCTAAGTTCATATATTTCATCAAAATTCATGTGAGTACAATTAATCAACATGATCACAGCTCACTTGGAAGTGTTTCTCTCATCACTCAACAGTGTTTAGGTGTTGTTTTCTCTCTAAATCATCAATTCAACTACACTCTACCATATGCTTGCCTAATTTCTCCATCTCCTCTGCTTAATACAATTAATCACACATCTAGAGGGCTTTTTGCAGGTTATAATCGGGCTTAGGTTAAGGTAGATACTCAACAAAATAGGAAGCAAATGCAATTTCAAAAGATCAGAGGCATTTTGAGTGAATGACTTTAAAACTAGTATGGTTTTGCCTCATTTCTCACTAACTTTCTCAATTATGCAGCAAACAACTTGTTTTTGTGCAGCAGAATTTTCATTTTCATTTTTCTTTTCTTTTTCTCTGCAACAGTTTGCTGCGAATTTAAACTCCATATTGCTCTTTTCAACTCAATTTCTGTTTTTGAACTCATGTTTTTCTCTTTTCACAATTTTCTGCAGCCAGTTTTGCTGCATAATTTCTTTATTTTTTTGCAGCCAGTTTTGTTCTTACTTTCTAACTTTTTGAACTCAAACTTAGATAGCTTGTTATTCCCCTACCCCAAACTTATAAATTTGCTTGTCCTCAAGCAACATAATATGGATGCTACCCCAAACTTAGTTTTAAAGCTCATTCTTGATTATACTCACTATGCCTCTGATTCATTGAATGGTAAAATTGGTTTTTCAGCAGGGCTTGTAATGAAGTTAATTCAAGAAGAGGAATATTAAGCTCAAAGGGGTAAACTAGGGTATTCAAGCATAAGGGAAGGCATTTAGGCTGACTAGGTATATCAAAACATGGCCTCCATCATGTGTGTGAAAACTATAAACATGCATATTCAATTAAGAACAAAGGCAAGTTCTAGAGAATGCAGCAAATTCTGATTAATCACGCAAGAAAAAGAAGCATGCAGCTCAAATCTCACTCAGGTTGTGTAAGTGACATGTTAATCAATGAACTCACATTTCTCTTTTCAGATTTATATGCACCTAGTGGCAAGACTGCCTCATTTTTGAAAATACAAGTGTAATCTCATGTTGAGAATGAGAAAAACAACTAAAAAAAATTCAAATAGAATCCACAGAATTATCAAACATCTTGCAGTCAATGTACAGAAAAACAGCTCATATTCTATACTATTAACAGTAAATTTTCAGTGTATTGTATAGCTAACACATGAATCAAGAAATAGGGAATAAAAACACCCTTTTTCATGGCAGCTTGTGCAAGTGTCAACATCCAATGTGTGTGAGTGTTGTGTGTGACATTCTTTGCACAAAACACCAGGATTCCATCAATGATCAGTAATAGAAAGGGATTAAAACTGCAAAATTATTAAACTGAACAGAAAGTGATTGTCATTACAACTAAAAACATTAAAAATTATTCTGAATAACTACTGAATTTATAGACTTTTAAAAGAAAAACAACAAAAATAAAACTCCTAATCTATTCTTCTGCACTATCTTCATCTCCTGAACTTTCTTCTTCAGAACCCTCCTCTTCTTCTTCTTCTTCTTCCACTACTTCTTCAAATGTTGGCTGAGGAAAATAGGTTCTGTAGATGGGCATATTCTTGAACACAGAGGAGTGGAGACATTGGGCATTTTCTGCTACATCAGGGGTATGGTACATTTCCTCTTTTGTCATCCCCATTTTCTGCCCAATGTTGAGCATTATGCACTCCATCAGCATGACTCCAGCTTTTATGCTATTGTGGAGCTCATTCTGCCTTTCAGCCAATTGATTTTTCCCTTTAGCTAGTTGCTTTAGGGTATCCTTCATCATCATAGGCTTCTTCTTCTTGTACTTGGAGGGATGGGAGCTGCAGACGTACAGGAGACAGTAGCATAAATTTCTTTTATCATGGTTGTAGTAATGAATGGTGCAGCCCTGATCTTTTCTTGATAATCTCCAATTTCTACTCCTGCATCCTCACATAGCAAGATGATGATTGAGGGAAAAGCTAAGAAATCCCTTTTTGTCTTTAGGATGCCCAAGATGCATTCACTTATAACTTCTCCCACATCTATGTAGATGTCTGAGACTATGGCAAACAACAAAAATAGCCCTCTTGACAGCCAATGTGGAGCTGTGTTTGACAGGCATGAATGAGTTCAAAATGAACATGCTCCACACTTTGGAAAAGGGTAGCAGAATCTTGGTGATTATATGCTTTGGCTTGTTAGATTGGTTCAGCTCCCATGTGGTGCCTGGTTTACCAATCTTTTCCAGAATCCGCACAAAGTCAATGTCTGGACTTTCTTAAATGATTTGAAGTCCAGTTGTGCAGAATGTTGTGCAGAGTTAATTTCCAGCACCCTGTTGATGTTTGCTGGCGAGAAATCAATCCTCATTCCTTTGACCATGGAGCTGAACTTAGGGATTCAATTTCCCTTAAACCTCATGGCATTGGCATAGAATTCCTGAGTTATTTCCCTCCAACCCAGGTCAGCTGCTGCACAGAAAAATTCCCATCCTCTTTTTTGAATTTCTTCTTTACATTCTAGGTAATTGTCCCCAGCTATTTGGAATGCTCTGTCGGGAACAATTTTTCTTCTCAGAATGTTGGCTCTGAAAAAGTTTTCATGAGCCACACTTCTGAATCTGGGGTCATGTGTGGTAGGTGGGGAAGAGGTTGAAGGTGCAGTTGTTCTTGGCAGAGGTGATGGGGAAGGTGAAGGTGTAGGGGATCTTATCTGAAGTGGTGGAGAAGGTGAAGTTGCAGGGGATCTTGGCTGAGGTGGGTCAGAAATTTCAATGGGTGAGGAGCTGAGGAGCTTGAGACACCATCAGTTCTGGCCCTCTTTGCTGCTAGATTATTCCTAGCTTGAAGATTTCTACTGGATCTTTTTCTAGGAGTTGTAGAAGATGCAGCTTGCTTCTTCTTAGAAGTTGTAGAAGATGCGGCTTGCTTCTTCTTAGAAGGGCCCACAGGTGTATTGAAGGAAGTTCTAACCATTTTTCAGTTTCTACAAAAGAAAATGTAAAATTTTAACACATATGATATTTCTATGTTTGTAGAAAATTCCAGCAAATAGTTTACAGACATTCATTGTTTCACACTATGCTCATGCAGGTTGCTGTTAAGATAAAATCCAACATTCAAATACCAACACTCAGTTGCATAAACTTAAGCATTCATAGTGAAAGCATATAAAATCCTGCTGTAGGAGTTCAAAGTACACACTCTTAGAAAATATTAGGTTAACGCAGAAAAATTATTACAGGTCTTGACCAATTTTCAAAAAAATTCGGTAATTTCAGCAAAAGATTACAAGGTTTTACCCAATTTTCAACTAAGTATGCACTTCAATTCTTCCCAGCATAATTTCTAGCTCAATTTCATTACAATCATGCATTCTAATTTCCAATCCCACCTTTTCAGAAAATTCTGTTGCTATCTACTCAGATTCTACAGAGATTTGGTTCATATAGTGCAATGTGATTTCAATTATCCCATCAAATTAACATACATGACATGGAACACCTATTTAGAGTATTATCCATTCTATTATGGAACCAAATAGCCTCAGAACATGAATTCAAGTCTGCTATCAGAATATGTAATATATAGATGTAACAGTACAGATGCACAACATTAATCAATCAAATTTAGAGGAATTTTAATATTCCTAATTTGGAAGTTCAGGTTGCGTTTACTCTCATAAAGAAATAGGGTAGCGCAGAGCAATATTTTCAGGTTTCAACCAATTTTCAAACATAGTTTTGCAACCTAATCATTTTTAGCAACAAGCTATTTTATCAAAGTAATGCAGAGTTGATTGTCCTGGTATTTTTCAAGCATTCGATTGTATTACAAGTAGCATATGTTTACAATTAATCTCATGCAACAATTTCAGTTCAAACATTTTCACTGACGTCTTTTTAGGTCATCCCAGTTTCTGCAGAATTTTTATTCAAATATTGTGCAATGCAGATTCAGATGCTCCTAAAAAAAATTTAAATGACAGGGAAAACTTATTCAGTGTATTGTTCATACAATGCCCCATTACCCCATTCAACATTTTTCCCAAACTTCAAACACAAAAAACCCTAACTACAGTTTTAGAGGGATGAGAGTAACCGTACCTTGTAGGAAGATGCAGAAATGTATGAGAAATGCTTGATGATGCTAGGTCGACGCACACAGGGGATGAGATTTGCAGAGAAAGCTCAGAAAGAGATGAAGTTTTAAGAGTGAAGAGTGTGTGTGCATGCTCAGGTTAGAGAATATATATGGTTACGCTAGGAACGTGACAACTTTTTAAAACAAAAATGAACGTTGCAAAATTAATTAGTCTCAGCGTACTCACTATTTCTGAACAAAGTGAGTGTTCTAGAGAGTTGTTTTTTTCAGAGTGTGGAGCGCGTTGTCACTATTGCTAGGCAAAGTGATAGTGACAACGCGCAGCAGAGTGACAACTTTTTTCAATAAAAGGAATAACGCAGAAAGATTGAAAGTCTACTCACCTATGCGTAACCACTTTTGACAGAAAAATGAAGCGTTCCAGAGAGCTCATTTTCCTATCTATCTCTGCGTGATCACTTTTATCACTAAAAGTGATTGTTCCAGCAGAAATCTTCAAAATGCATTCTCTGCGTAGAGTCTTTTCTGCAACAAAGTGACTCCTTTCATTAACCAATTGCTTCTAAATTCTCAATTAACTCACTTTTCACACTCTAATCCATCAAATACACACTCTAAACATTGAATCTCAATTCAAGTATCCCAAATGTACCTCAGAAACTCAGACGCAGTAGAATATTCACATACATTATGCAGACTTTTCAAAAAGTTGTAAAATCTGATTATGCAGAATTTTTAAACCCTTGAATACACATTCACCACATTAATTCTAAATTTAAGTATCCAGATGCACCTCAGAAAATAGGTTCAACAGTATTTTTGCAGAGTATTTGCAGAACAGCAGAAAATTACAAAACAAGAATATGCAAAATTCTAAAACACTATAGAAAACTTAAAATGGGTTAGAAATGTGAGTTGCCTCTCACAAAGCACTTCTTTAATGTCACTAGCTTGACATTAAATGCTCCTCACTCAAGAGGAACCAATTTCAAGCATGAGATATTCCTTGTAAACTCCTCTCCATGATAGATCTTCAATCTTTGGCCATTGACCTTGAATTCTTTCCTTGTTTTCTGATCTTCTATAAGGATTGCTCCAAAGGGAGAAGTCTCCTTAATCAAAAATGGTCCAGACCATCTGGATTTCAGTTTCCCTGGAAACAATTTTAATCTAGAATTGAATAACAGCACTTGCTGCCCAGGTCTGAAATCTTTTTATAGCATGAACTTGTCATGGATTCTCTTTGTTCTTTCTTTATATAACTTTGCATTTTCATAGGCTTGCTGTCTGAATTCCTCCAACTCATGCAGCTGCAGAACTCTCTTCTTTTCAGCACTTGACAAATCAAAGTTAAGCCACTTGGTAGTCCAATATGCTCTATGTTCCAGCTCTAAGGGTAGATGACAGGCCTTTCTAAATACTAACTGGTATGGAGACATACCAATTGGAGTTTTAAAAGCAGTCCTATATGCCCACAATGAATCATCCAACCTTTTTGACCAATCTTTCCTTGAGCTATTCACTACTTTCTCTAGAATTTGCTTGATTTGTCTATTTGAAACCTCCACTTGTCCACTTGTTTGTGGATGGTATGGAGTAGCAACCTTGTGCTTCACACCATATTTCATTAATACAGCTTCAAGATACTTGTTGCAGAAATGGGTACCTCCATCACTTATCAGCACTCTAGGCACACTAAATCTTGAAGAAAATATTCTTTCTTATAAAAGAAATCACTACCTTTGCATCATTTGATCTAGTAGGAATAGCTTCTACCCATTTAGAAACATAATCCACTGCTACTAAGATGTATTCATGCAAAAATGATGGGGGAAAAGGTCCTATGAAATCAATCCCCCATACACCAAATAGCTCCACTTCTAGGATGTTGGTTAGTGGTAGCTCATGTCTTCTTGAAATATTTCCAGTTCTTTGACATTTATCACAATTTTCCACATACTTCTTGGCATCTTTGAAGAGTGTAGGCCAAAAGAAACCTGCTTGCAAAACTTTTGCAGCAGTCCTTGAGCTTGCATGGTGGCCTCTATATTCTGAATTGGGACAATGCCATAGTATCTCAGCTTACTCACTTTGTGGAATGCACCTTCAAAGTAACCCTTCCACTCCAATTTTGAACAAATAAGGGTCTTCCCATACATAGAATTTGCTGTCATGTAAGAACTTCTTCTTTTGCTGCCAAGTAAACCTCTTTGGGATGAATTGAGTTGCCTTAAAGTTTGCAATGTCAGCAAACCAAGGTATGTTTTCCACTACAAACAGCTTTTCATCTGGAAATTCTTCATTTATTTCCAATGATTCAGTGGTTAAACTCTCCAATGGAAATCTGGATAGGTGGTCAGCAACACCATTTTCTTTCCCTTACTTGTCTTTGATTTGTAGCTCGAATTCTTGGAGAAGTAGAATCCATCTTAATAATCTGGGCTTTGCATCCTATTTTGTCAAAAAGTATTTAAGAGCAGCATGATCAGTGTATACAATCACTTTTGAACCCATTAAATATGATCTGAACTTATCAAAAGCATATACAATAGCTAGAAGCTCTTTTTCTATTGTTGTGTAATTCACTTATGCAGGATTTAATACTTTACTTGAATAGTAAATAACATGCAATTTCTTATCTTTTCTCTGTTCTAAAACAGCACCCACTGCATTATCACTTGCATCACACATGAGTTCAAAAGGTAATTTCCAATTTGGTTTTGCAAGGATAGGTGTATAAATTAGTTTTTCTTTTAAAACAGAAAATGCATGCAAGCAATTATCATCAAATATGAAATCAGCATCCTTTATAAGTAAATTACTCAGAGGTTTAACAATTTTGGAAAAATCTTTTATGAACCTCCTATAAAAGCCAGCATGTCCTAAAAAACTTCTAACTCCCTTAACATTGATAGGTGGAGGCAGTTTACTAATGACTTCTATCTTAGCATGGTCCATCTCCATTCCTTTTTCTGAAATTTTATGACCAAGAACAATGCCTTCTTGTACCATGAAATGGCACTTTTCCTAGTTCAAGACCAGATTGGTATCTTGACATCTCTGCAAAATAATAGATAGATTAGCCAAGCAATCATCAAAAGAATCACAAAAAACAGAGAAGTCATCCACGAACACTTCAATGATGTTTTCTACCAAGTCAGAAAAAATAGAAAGCATGCATCTTTGGAAAGTGGCAAGGGCATTACATAAACCAAAAGGCATTCTCCGATATGCAAAGATTCCAAATGGACATGTAAATGCAGTCTTCTCTTGATCCAAAGGATCCACTGCTATTTGGTTGTATCCTGAATAACCATCAAGGAAACAATAGAATAAATGTCCAGCAAGTCTTTCCAACATTTGATCTGCAAATGGTAGTGGGAAATGGTCTTTTCTGGTTACATCATTTAACTTGCTATAGTCTATGCACATTCTCCATCCAGTCACAGTCCTAGTGTGTATAACTTCATTCTTCTCATTGGCTACAACAGTCATCCTTCCTTTCTTTGGAACAACTTGGACTGGACTCACCCAATTGTTGTCAGAAATTGGGTAGATTATTTCTGCATCTAGCAACTTCATGACCTCTTTCTTAACTACCTCTTTCATGGCTGGATTCAACCTTCTTTGTGGCTGCACAACAGGCTTAAAATTATTTTCAAATAAAATTTTGTGCTTACAAAATGAGGGATTTATACCTTTCAGATCTGCAATACTCGAGCCAATTGCAGATTTGTGTTCTCTTAGGATTTGCAGCAGCTTTTCCTCTTGTTCTTTCTTGAGCTCATTGTTGATGATGACTAGATTCTCATGGTTCTCATCCACAAATGCATATTGCAGGTGAGAGGGAAGCTGTTTCAGCTCTAGCTTCTGCTTTTCCTCTTCTCTAACATTCTTTTTCAGTTCTTCCTTCACTGAATTTTCTGCAGGTTTTTGAATTGGCAGGGCTTCCAATTGCTGTTGCACTTCTATGATGTATTCTTCATTCAGAATTTCAGACTTGACATTCCCTGCAGATATTATTTCTTCTAACACAACAGTTTCATCAAATTCATTTATATGGTGTTGTGTAATAAAAGCATCTAGTATATCTACCTTCATGCATGTATTATCTTCAACTAGATATTTTAAAGCTTTAAACACATCAAATACTACCTTCTTATCTTGAACTCGAAGCATAAGTTCACCTTTCTGCACATCTATTAAAGCTCTCCCTGTTGCAAGGAATGGTCTTCCTAATATCAATGGAATATTAGCATCCACTTCCATATCCAGAATTACAAAATCTGCAGGAAAAATGAACTTGTCAATTTTAACTAACAAATCTTCAACAACTCCATATGGATAAGTGTATGATCTATCAACTAGCTGCAGTGTGATGTTGGTGGGCTTCACTTCCTTTATGCCAAGTTTCTGCAAAACAGCCAATGGCATCAAGTTTATGCTTGCTCCCAAGTCACACAATGCTCTTCCCACAGTGCAATTTCCTATTTCACAAGGAATGCTGAATGATCCAGGATCTTTCAGTTTTTGAGGAAGTTTTCTCTTGAGAATGGCACTGCACTCCTCTGTTAAAGGTACTGTTTTGTCGTGCTCTAGCTTCCTTTCTCTGGAAAGTAGTTCTTTCATAAATTTTGCATATGAAGGCATCTGCTCCAAGGCTTCTGCAAAAGGAATGTTAATCTGTAATTTCTTAAAGACATTCATAAACCTTTCAAATTGTTCCTCCTGTTAGGATTTTGGACCCTTTAAGGATAAGGCAGCCTCTTGTATTTTTTTGGATCTATTGGCTTGCAAGCATCTTCAAAGAGTTGCTTCTTGGTTTTCCTCTTAGAATTCATAGGAACTTCTACTTTTTCTTCTGAATGATCTTTCTTCAATAGCTTAAAATTTCCTTGTTGCAAATCTTGTTCAATTTTCCTTTCTGCTGCATCATTGACTTTCTTTTCTGCAGGTTTAGGACTTGCAACCACAGTTTCACTCCTTGTAATTATGGCTTGACATTGCTCCTTAGGATTGATTACTGTGTTGCTTGGAAATCTTCCTTCATCCCTGCTGGACAGTTGTTCAGCTAGCTGTCCAATTTGTGTTTCCAATTTCTTTGTAGAAGCTTCTTGGTTCTTGAAGCTTGTTTGGGTCACCTTCATGAATTGCAACATGGTTTCTTCCATCTCAGTCAACCTTTCATTCTTAGGCTTGAAAAATTTCTGAGTTCCTTGAGGTTGAGTGGATGGATTCCTCTGAAAATAAGACTGTTGTGTTGTTGGACCTGTATTAGAAAAAGGTAAATTGGAGTTAGAATTCTTGGCAGCAGAATATTGATTATTCCAATTAAAATATTGCTGACTTCTATTATTCAAAAATTGAAATCCAGGGAGATAGAAGGATTGTTGTCTCTGAAAATTGTTCATATAATTTACTTGTTCTTGTCTTTCACTTGTAGATGCCTCGCATGCACCATTTACATGGTTTCCTCCACAGAAATCACAGCTTAGCTGACTGGTAGGCATACTCCTTGTTTGAAGGTTGCTGATTTGTTGAGTTAGGGCAACTATTTGTTCTGAAAACATCTAATTTTGTAGCTGATTCTGTTCAAGAAAGGTTTCCAAAACCTTTGCTTCATAACCAGAGTTTCTTCCTTGATTCCTTGAGTTTGAATTTTGGTCCATTGAAGATGTCATCATCTCAATAATCCTCTGAGCTTCTTCCAAGGACTTTGTATTTAATGAACCTCTAGTAGCAGCATCAACCATTGTTCTTGTTGATGTGTTCATTCCATTGTAGAAAGTTTCCAATCGCATCCAATCTGGAATACAATGATGTGGACACCTTCTCAGCAATTCTTTATATCTTTCCCAAGCTTCATACAAGGATTCTCTTTCTTGCTGCACAAAGGATGTAATTTCTCCTCTCAGCTTAGTAGCTTTGGATGGAGGGAAGTACATAGTTAGAAACTTATTCACAAATTCTGTCCAAGTTGTTATGCTTCCTTGTGGTTGAGCTTGCAACTAGCATTTGGCTCTATCTCTCAAGGAAAAAGGAAATAATCTCAGTCTGATGGCTTCTTCATTAACCCCATTCATTCTTATGGTGTCACATAGCTGCAGAAAATTTGAAATATGTTGGTTAGGATCATCAGAATTTCCACCAAAAAACTGATCCTGTTGAACTAAGTGTAATAAGGCAAGTTTAATCTCAAAATGGTTGGCTTGGATAGTTGGCCTAATTATAGAAGAATTAAAACCTTGCATGTTAGGAATTGCATAGTCCCCTAATGTTCTAATTCTATTTTGCTCTGCCATCTCTATTTTTGGATTTGGTTGTCTCAAAGGTGTAGGTGTTCTTTTCACTCTTGGATTGTTCTGAATTTCTGGAGAATAGACAACTTCTAAATCACTATCACTTCCTAAGAATTTTTCTGCTTTAGACTCTTTTCTCAATCTTCTTAAGGTTATGTCTATGTCAGGATCAAAGACCAGAATTGATTTATTCTTGTTTTTACCACGAATATACAAGTCAAAATGAAACAAAATTAGACTACAATCAGTATTCAGAAATGCACAATAGAAATTATGCAGAAAAATATCAGCAAAAGCATATAAAACTCAAGTCTAGCAGCTACAGAATTATGCAGAATTGTAGATTCATGCAGAAATTATCTACTATTATTCTATACTTATCTAATTAAAGGCAAAACAAAGTAATTTCCATGTAATACAAAATTTAAGAGAAAAATTCAGAATTCAAGAACTCAATCTAGTAATTTTTCTGTTACTAATGATATTGAAATACAAAATTCCCTAGCAATGGCGCCATAAACTTGTTTATAATTTTAAACACTAGCAGGTGCACTAGGAATTACAGCAAGTATTGAGTAAATTTAAGATCCAAGTATCGTCTCCACAGGGAATTAGGAATTCAATTACCAATTCGCAGAGCAAAAACTAGTTGAGTCATACGAATTTGGAAAGGATGTAACATATCAAAGCAATAAACCAGAACAATACAAAGAATTAAACTTGCAGTAAAAACAGAGTATAAGATTTGTGATGAATTGAGATAGGAATGAAGAATAGTTAGGAATTTACTTCACAAGAATGTCAATATTGATTCAATTATGCCTCTGAACATTCAAGAACTTGGTTAATTGACAATCAGTTTCACATATTAATAGCCAAAGGTTAATCCCTTAACTCATTGACCCTAACAAGCAACTAAACCACCCTAATCCCTTAGATGAAGTTCAATTTCAAGTTGCATTAAGACTTAGAACCTTAGGATTGCAGAATTAGGTCTCCTTATCCTTAAGAAATCCCCAATTCTGATTGCTAACTCAAATCAAAGAAGCAAATCCAACTTCCATTGGTAATTGTTCCTCTTTGATGAACCATACAAATTTCCATTCATAGATTGCAATAACAGCAGAATTAACAATTCAATTAATCCAAGAACTCAAAATTTAGAAGCAAAAGTCAAATCAATACATCAATTCGACTTCCATAAACTCCTAACTACAAAGAATTAAGCAAACATTAAAACAAAGAAAGAGAAAGAAAGAGAAGAAGAGAAGAATTGCAGAGAAGCCATTTCCACGAGCTCCAATCCAATGCCTCTTCTTGGAGCTTCAAAATTTGACCCCGCTCCTCTCTCTCAGTCTCTCCCAACGAGAATCTAATAGAAAAAATAGAAAATAAACAAAAGATATCGAGTTCTGAGCTTAAGACATGTATTTATAGAAATCTCAATTTTGTGCGTTGTCACTTTGTTTCATAAAAGTGACCACACAGAGGCTCATTCTATTTCTAGAAGACTGGAACATTCACTTTCGTTGATAAGAGTAGCAACGCAGGAGGTCAAGGAGTGCGAGTGATCACTTTCGAGAGCAAGAGTGATCACTCGCAGCTTGCCTTGTTTCACTCCTCTCTGGAACATCCACTTTCGCTGGCAAGAGTGGTAACATAGAGCTTGCTAAAAATTTTCCTTCTCTGGAACACTCACTTTCGCCAGTAAGAGTGACCATGCAGAGCTCGCTAAAATTCTTTCTTCTTTGGAATGTTCACTTTTGTTGGCGAGAGTAACAACGCACAGCTCTGCTAAGATTGAACTTCTCTGGAATGTTCACTTTCAGTGATAATAGTGATCACGCCCACACTCAACTTCTCATTTAAGCTATGAATCACTCACTTTCCCTGGCAAGAGTAACCACGCCCAGCTTAAACTCCATGAGCCATGTTCTTTGAGTCCAGACTTGCTACTTTTATGCTATTTCTCTATTGATCTACCAACCTCATGGTCTTTGGTCAAAATTTTCTACAAAACACACTTCAATTATTAATTTCTACACAAAAAATTCATAAATGCTAAACTAACTATGTATTTAAAGAAATTCTTCAATCATTCTATTTTTATGATTTTTTTTTCTGCTTTTTCCAACACATTTTCCTTATCAAATGGACTAAAATTATAGTAAAATACTAGTAAAAATATGGATTCATCATGTGGTACAGTTCATCTTTGGTCATTCCCATCTTCTGACCAATATTCATCAAGACACACTCCAGCAACATTATTCCAGATTTCACACTACTGTGCAACTCATTTTGCCTCTCAGCCAATAAGTTCTGTCTTTCAGCAAGAAATGCTATCTTTTCTTTCATTGTTGTTGGGTTTTCTCTCTTGAACTGGGAGGGTATAGGAGTTACTGATGTACATGATGTAGAAGCATAGATTTCCTTCACCATTGCTACTGAAATTGGGGGTGCAGCTCTAACCCTTTCCTAGTAATCACCAAATTCAATCCCTACATCCTCACACAGAGCAGTTATTAATGAAGGAAAAGCTAAAGAGTCTCTTTTTCTTTTCAGGATGTCTAAGATACATCCACTAATAACTTCCTATACATTAATGTACATGTCATTCACTATAGCAAATAAAAGTTCAGCCTTTTTTACTGCTAAAGTGGAGTTGTGCTTGACTGGCATGAATGAACTTAAGATGAAGGCACTCCACACTTTGGCAAATGGTAGGTGATGAATCCATATTTTACTAGTATTTTACAATAGTTTTTAGTGCAATTAATAAAGAAAACATGCTAGAAATAGTAGAAAACTCTTAAAAAATTAATAAAATGTTGCATGTCACTTTTAAACATAGTTATTTTAAAATTCATTGATTTTCTATGTAAAAAGTGACATTTCAAGTATGCCTTCGTAGGGAATTTTGAGCTAAGTTCATGAGGATTGGATGATCAAAGGAAAAATAGAAGAAAAGTAGCAAAAATTGGAGGAAAGAAGTTGATAATTGAAGAACAACCAATCATTTTGAGATAAAACCAGCCTTACTTCACCTAGTGCAGCAGGACCAATTTTCTGGTAGAATTTCTGATGATCCTAATCTACATATTTCTAATTTTCTGCAGTTGTGTGATACGATAAGGATGAATTGAGTAAGTGAAGATACTATAAGACTGAGGCTATTTCCATTTTCTTTAAGAGACAAAGCCAAATGTTGGTTACAAGCACAGCCTCAGGGAAGTATCACCACATGGACTGAACTTGTGAATAAATTTCTAACAAAATATTTTCCTCCCTCAAAAGCTTCTAAGCTGAGAGGAGAAATAACATCTTTTGTGCAGCAGGAAGGAGAATCACTTTATGAAGCATGGGAAAGATATAAAGAGTTGCTGAGAAGATATCCACATCATTGTATTCCAGAATGGATGCAGCTGGAAACTTTTTATAATGGAATGAATGTAGTAACTAGAACTATGACTGATGTAGCTGCAGGAGGATCTTTGAGCATGAAATCCTTGGAAGAAGCCCAAAGAATCATTGAGATGATGGCTTCATCCATGTATCAGAATTCCAACTTGAGGAATACAAGAAGAGGCAATGAATACGAAGCAAAGATGATGGAAACTTTTCTTGCATAGAATTAGCTGTAGAACCAATTATTTTCTGATCAAATAGCAGCTTTGACTCAGCAGATTAATAATTTGCCGATTGGAAATGTGGTAACAAGTCAGTTGACATGCGATTTTTGTGGAGGGAATCATGCTAATGGTGCATGTAATGTACCTACCCCTGAACCACAAGAGCAAGTCAATTATATGGGGAATTATCAAAGACAGCAACAATCTTATCCTCAACAATCATTTCCTCCTGGATTTCAGTATTCTAATAATAGGAATCAACAATTTTATAATTGGAATCCTCAGAATTCTACAATGAAAAGCACTAATACATCTCTTCCATTTTCAAATGCAAGAAATCACCAACAAAAGCAGTACTTTCAAGGAAATTCTTCTACTCAACCTCAAAGGAGTCAACATTCAGCTAGACCAATGAGTGAAAGAATGAACGAGAATGAGGAAACAATGTTACAATTCATGAAAGTCACTCAATCCAGCATCAAGAATCAAGAAGCTTCTATGAAGAAGTTAGAAACTCAAATTGGACAGCTCGCTGAACAATTAACAAGCAGAGATGAAGGAAGATTTCCAAGTAACACAGTGGTGAATCCAAAGGAACAATGTCAAGCTATAGTTACAAGAAGTGGAGCTGTTGTAGCAAGTCCAAAACCAGCTGAAAAGAGACTGAATAATGTTGCAACCGAAAAGCAAGTAGAAAATGCAGTAGAGGAAAGAAATTTAAAAGAAGAATTGCAGCAAGGGAACTTCAAGCTACTAAAGAGAGAACATTCAGAAAAGAATGAAGAAGTTCATAAAAGTCCTGAAAGAAAGACAAAGAAGCAATTATTTGAGGACACTTACAAGCCAATTGATCCAGAAAAATATAAGAGACTGCCTTATCCCTAAAGAGTGCAAAATCCTAAGCAAGAGGAGCAGTTTGAGAGGTTTCTAAATGTGTTCAAAAAGCTACAAATTAACATTCCATTTACTGAAGCTTTGGAGCAAATGCCATCTTATGCAAAATTCATGAAGGAACTACTCTCCAAGAAAAGGAAGTTAGAACATGATAAGACGGTACCCTTGACAGAGGAGTGCAGTGCTATTCTTAGAAGAAAACTTCCTCTAAAATTAAAAGACCCAGGATCCTTTAGCATACCTTGTGAAATAGGAAATTGTACTATAGGAAAAGCATTGTGTGATTTGGGGGCAAGCATTAATTTGATGCCATTAGCCATTATGAAGAAATTGGGGATAGAGGAAGTGAAACCAACCAACATTACATTGCAATTAGCTGATAGATCATATACTTATCCATATGGAGTAGTAGAGGATTTGTTGGTTAAGGTTGACAAATTTATTTTTCCTGCAGATTTTGTCATATTGGACATGGAGGTAGATGTAAACATACCATTAATCTTGGGCAGACCTTTCCTTGCAACTGGACGAGCTCTCATTGATGTACAAAAAGGAGAGTTAATGCTTAAAGTTCAAGAGGAAAAGGTAATATTTAATGTATTTGAAGCTTTGAAATATCCAATTGATGATAACACATGTATGAGAGTAGATACATTGGATTCTATGATCACTCCTTATTCTTTAAATGGATTTGACGAAATTTCTGTGTTGAGAGAAACCATAGCTGCAGGAAATACTAAATCTCTACATTTTGAAGATGAAAACGTATTTGAAATGGAGCAGCAATTGGAAACTCTACCTATTTTAATACCTGCAGAAGAATCAATCAAAGAGGAGTTGAAAATTGAAGGAGAAGAAGAGAAAAGTCAGAAGCTGGAATTAAAGCAACTTCCATCTCACTTGAGATATGCATTCTTGGATCATAAACATGAAAATCCAGTTATCATAAGCAATGAACTCAAGGAAGAAGAGGAGGAGAAGTTGCTGAGAATTTTGAGAACCCATAAATCAGCAATAGGGTGGAACATCTCAGATTTGAAAGGTATAAATCCATCCTTTTGTAAGCACAGAATTTTATTTGAAGAAAATTTTAAACCAGTTGTGCAGCCTCAAAGAGGATTAAACCCTGCCATGAAGGAAGTGGTAACGAAGGAAGTCATTAAACTATTAGATGCAGGGATCATATATCCTATTTTAGACAGCAATTGGGTAAGTCCTGTGCAAGTGGTACCTAAAAAGGGTGGAATGACTGTAGTACCAAATGAAAAGAATGAGTTGATATCCACAAGGACTGTCACAGGATGGAGGATGTGTATAGATTATAGAAAGCTGAATGATGCAACTAGAAAAGATCATTTTCCTCTACCTTTTGCAGACCAAATGCTAGAAAGGTTAGCTGGACATGCATTTTACTGCTTTTTAGATGGATATTCTGACTATAACCAAATTGTTGTAGATCCAATTGATCAAGAAAAAATTGTTTTTACTTGTCCCTTTGGAATATTTGCATATAGAAGAATGCCGTTTGGGCTGTGTAATGCTCCAGCTACATTTCAAAGGTGCATGTTAGCTATTTTTTCTGACTTAGTTGAGAAAATAATTGAGGTATTCATGGACAATTTTTCTGTTTTTGGGAATTCATTTGATGATTGTTTATCTAACTTGTCCATTGTTTTGCAGAGATGTCAAGGCACCAACTTGGTGTTAAATTGAGAGAAATGTCACTTTATGGTGCAAGAAGGAATAGTGCTTGGCCATAAGATTTCAATTAGAGGGATCGAGGTTGATCAAGCTAAAATAGAAGTGATTAGTAAATTACCTCCACCTGTGAATGTGAAAGGAATTAGAAGTTTCTTAGGCCATGCTGGGTTTTATAGGAGGTTCATTAAAGATTTTTCTAAAATTGCCAAACCTCTGAGTGACTTGCTTGTAAAGGATGCAGCATTTGTATTTGATGAATCTTGTATGCATGCTTTTACTATCTTAAAAGAAAAACTGATTTCTGCTCCAATTCTTGTTAAACCTGACTGGACTATACCATTTGAGCTAATGTGTGATGCAAGTGACAATGCAGTGGGTGCTGTATTAGGACAAAGAAAAGATAAAAGACTACATGTGATTTACTATGCTAGTAGAGTCCTAAACTCTGCACAGATTAATTACACAACCACTAAAAAAGAGTTGCTTGCTATAGTATTTGCTTTTGATAAATTCAGGTCTTATTTAGTAGGGTCCAAGGTTGTGCTATATACTGACCATGCTGCTCTGAAATATTTGTTTCCTAAGCAGGATGCTAAACCAAGACTGCTGAGATGGATTCTACTACTTCAAGAATTTGAGTTAGAAATTCGAGATAAGAAAGGAAAAGAGAATGGTGTTGCAGACCATCTATCCAGAATTCCATTGGATACAATGTCATCAGATTACTTGGATATTAATGAAGAATTTCCTGATGAAAAGCTACTAACTGTGGATGAAGTACCTTGGTTTGTTGATATAGCGATTTTTAAGGCCACTCAGAACATTCCAAAGAGAATGAATTGGCAGCAAAGAAAGAAATTTCTTCATGACAGCAAGTTCTATATTTGGGAAGATCCTCATCTATTCAAAATTGGAGTAGATGGCATTTTGAGAAGATGTATTTCACAGAAAGAACAAGCTGATATCCTATGGCATTGCCACAATTCAGATTATGGAGGCCATCATGGTGGATCAAGAACAGCTGCCAAAGTATTACAAGCTGGATTTTTCTGGCCTACATTGTTCAGAGATGCAAAAATTTATGTAGAAAAATGTGATAAATGCCAAAGAGTTGGTAACATTTCTAGAAGACATGAGATGCCTTTGAACAATATCTTGGAGGTGGAACTGTTTGATGTATGGGGAATAGACTTTATGGGACCCTTTCCAACTTCT